TTGCAGTGGGACAAGATTGCACTACTGCACTCCAGCCTGGTGACAGAGCAAGACTCTGTCTCAAAAAAAAAAAAAAAAAAAAAAAAATGGTCGCTAATGCCTATAATCCCAGCACTTTGGGAGGCCAAGGTGGGTGGATCACCTGAACCCAGAAGTCCAAAAATGGCCTGGGCAATGTGGTGGAACCCTGTCTCTACTAAAAGTACAAAGAATTAGCCAGGCGAAGTGGCGTATGCCAGTAATCCCAGCTACTCAGGAGGCTGAGGCTTAAGAATCGCTTGAACCTGGGAGGTGGAGGTTGTAGTGAGCCAAGATCACGCCACTGCACTCCAGCCTGGGTGACAGAGAGACCCTGTCTCCAAAAGAAGGGGCAGAAACCCCAGTTCTTGTGGTTGTTTTTCAACTGCAGAAGGTTGCAGTGCTCTTGCTTTACCAAAGAGAGTTCTTAGACATGGATTAATTGAAGCTGAGCAGCAGGCTGACCATGCCATTGACCCAGGCAGCTTTTCATCACTGTCTCAGAGTGTGTGTGCCTGGCACAGCCACCCCTGGTGACTAATACTGTAAAATAATGCGTGTACTGTTCCAAACTCATTTTTGAAATAAAGGACTCTTAATCATTTCTTGAAAAAGAAACTGTTAAAGCATCTCTTAGCTTTTGCCAAATGTTTGATTACTTTGTGACAATGAAACGCATGCTGTATAATGAAGACACTCTGTCGCTCCTTCTGAAAAGTAGTCTTCTTCTCTGAGCTGCTCTCAAAGACACTCCTCTTCTGAGCCACAGAACTTTGCCTGCTGTACAGAGCCACCACTCCCTTGACCAGTGATTCATTGTCTCCAGTGTGCGGTGTCCTTTCAATTTGGATAAGATCTGACTCCAACACGATTAAAAGCAACCAAACCTCCCCCAAAATGTCAGCATTTAATGATGACAGTTGTTCAATGGGTTCTAGGATTTGAAAAATCTGAGTTCCCAATTGTACAAAACTCTAAATGATATCACCACATACAGTAATTACTTTAGTCGAACCTGACAGGGGCAGGCATTTGTGAGATTCTGGGTGCTTCCAAGTGTTCTATGGCCCAGGTAAGCTCATTTGCCTCCAGGGCTGAACTCATCCTCCCCTTCTTGTTTCTAGTATTTGCTCTAAACTCTCAATGGAAAGAAACACAAGGGATGTGCAGGGTGGTGGTGACTGCACAGCTGCTATGGAGATGACAGAGGGCCCCTGCTCACAAAGGCTACTGCTAGAAGAATCCACACACTGGTGGCACTGCCTAGCTGGTGGGGCGGGCCTTTTAATGGTAATAAATCCTGAGCTCCCTCGGGTATACAGTCATGTGTCAATTAACAATGGGGATACATTCTAAGAAGTATGTCGTCAGGCAATTTCCTCGTCGTGTGATCATCACAGAGTGCAACTGCACAAACCTGGAGGGTACAGCCTACTCCACACCTAGGGGGTATGGGACAGCCTATTGCTCCTAGGCTACAAACCTGTACACATGTGATGGCTGTAGTGAACACTGTAGGCAACTGTAACACAACCGCAAGTATTTATGTATCTAATGCTAGCTAAACATAGACACCATGCAGTAAGAATACAGTATAAAAGATAAAATGTGGTTCACCTGTATAGGGCACTTTCCATGAATGGAGCTTGCAGGACTGGAAGTGGCTCTGGGTGCACCAGAGAGTGAGTGGAGAGTGACTGTGAGGCCGAGGGCATTATCGTATGCCGCGGTAGGTTTTATAAACACTGTACACTTAGGCTACACTCATTTTATTAAAAAAATTTTCTTTCTTCAATAATAAATTAACCTGAGCTTATTGTAACTCTTTTACTTCATAAACTTTTCAATTTTTAAAAAAGTCTGATCCTTTCTTTGATCCTTTTGCAATAACACTTAAAACACAAACATATTATATAGCTGTACCAAAATATTTTTTCTCTACATCCTTATTCTGTAAAGCTTTTTCTATTAATTTTTTTTTTCTTTTTAAATGTTTTTGTTAAAAAACTAAGTCACAAACACATTAGCCTAGGCCTACATGGCACCAAGATCATTCATGTCACCGTCTTCCACCTCCACACCTTGGCCCACTGGAAGGTCATCAGGGGTGTGATGGCTAATATTGACTGTCAAACTTGATTGGATTGAAGGATGCAAAGTATTGTTCCTGGCTGTGTTTGTTGCCACAGGAGATTAACATTTGAGTCAGTGGACTGGGAGAGGCAGACCCACCCTTAATCTGGGTGGCACCAGCTAATCAGCTGCCAGCACCGCTGGAATAAAGCAGGCAGGAGAAGACGGAGGAGCAGGCTTGCAGAGTCTTCCAACCTTCATCTTTCTCCCATGGGGGATGCTTCCTGTCCTTGGGCATTGGGCTGCTAGTTCTTCAGCTTTTGGACTCTTGGACTTACACCAGTGGTTTGCCAGGGGCTCTCGGGCCTTCGGCCACAGACTGAAGGCTGCGCTGTCAACTTCCCTACTTTTGAGGTTTTGGTACTCAGACTGGTCCACCACTGGCTTCCCAGCTCCTCAGCTTTCAGAGAGCCTATTGTGGGACTTTACCTCGTGATCGTGTGAGCCAATTCTTCTTAATAAACTCCCTTTCATATATACATATATGCATATCTGTCCTATTAGTTCTGCCCCTCTAGAGAAACTGACTAGCACAAGGGGCAATAACATATCCATGGAGCTATCATTTCCTATGATAACAATGCCTTCTTCAGGAATACCTCCTGAAGGACCTGCCTGAGATTGTTAACTTTTTTTTTAATAAGTAGAAGCATACTCTAAAATAATAAAAAGTACAGTAAATACCAGTAACAGTCCTTTGTTATTATCAAGCATTATGGACTGTACTAACGGTATCTGCTATACTTGTGTACAACTGGCATCACAGTAGGTTTGTTTATACCAGTAACACCACAAACACATCAGCAATGTGTTACGCGACATTGTCACTAGGTGATAGAAATTTTTCAGCTCCATTATAACCTTATGAGATCACTATCCTATATGCAGTCGGTGTTGACCGAAACCTCATTACGCAGCATGTAATACACTATGAATACGTGCATTTCCACCAAAAGAGAAAATCATTTCTTGTTTGGGAAAATGACAATGCGGTGAGGCATTATAGACTCAAACAAACTAGGGTTTGAGTTCTGACTTACCACCCATGAACTTCCTTGGACAAGTTACTGAACTTCTGGCCTGGATTGTTTTCTTCCATTAACTGAGAATAACAATATTTTTGGAATAGGGTTCCTGAAGACTGAAAGATATAACGTGTGAAAAAGCCGAGCACTCATTTGGCATCTATCCTTGCTCCCCTTCCGTTTTTTTCTCTGAGCAATGATTTAAAGTCCTCTAGCTGCCCTAAATCTGCAGGCATGTTTCACCTCATCACTGGGCTTTTCCAGGGAAAAGAGCCCCATGCTTTGGTTAATGGAAGAATGACAGCACTTTAGAACCTTCACAGGCAAACTCGGACAAGTGTCCATTTCACAGAAAACCATGACCAGTTGCTACCTCAAGTCCTGAAACTCATCTTGGGTGATGGCCTATGGCCACTGCTGCAGCGCAGGGCAGCTCCGTGCTATACAAGGTGGTAGTATCTCATTCAACATGCTACAGGTGCTGTGATAAGATGCAGGCAGCACCATGGGCACTTTTCATATACAGTCCTAGGTGATCCTCCACGATCCTAAGGCAGGTACCCTATAGCCCCTACATTACAAATAAGAAAACTGAGGCACAGGGAAGTATCCACCACAGAGAAGTCACGGGGTGAGATTTCTGGTCTATACTGCCTGATTCCAGAGCTCATGCTCTTGACCACATGTCCATCCACATAAAGATGTCCACATCTGTGGCTCTACTTCAAGAAGGCCAGTTAATGGTCACAGGGCAGGCTTTGCCTCTTCCTTTTCTCACTCCAAGGAGGCCTGAAGGAAACTGGTAAGGCCTTATCAGCCAGTCAATATTATTACACTTAACACCACCACGTCAACTCAGAAAAAAAGAATGCTCTGTTTTCACACAGGGCCTTCTGTGATGGTATCTTACAGAGATCCTCAGCCTGCTAACAGTCACTGACAATAATATCTTTATTCATTGTAATTTTATGTCACTTGACTGAATTGTAGCTTGGGAAGCTCACAACTTATTTAAGCAACAGGAGGGGGAGGGAAGAATGAGAATCAAAGCACCTTAGAAGTGTATGGAAAAGCAGCCACAGGGAAATCACTCTGAGAGTTAAGACAGTCCAAGAAACCCCTCATTAATTATTAATTGACACCACCTGAGGACTCCAGTTCTTGTGTCACAGTTTTGTACACTCCCCAGGATGGGAACTGCCTGCTCAAACATGTATCCTTAAACCCATATAAAAGGTGCACCATGAAGCCGTCCCATAAACCGGTCTATGGAACAGTTTTAGAAACAATGCAGCTCAGCAGGGTGTCCTGGGTGCAACTGTTTCCTGAGAGTTCAGACAAACTGCATCAGAAAGGAAGAGCTGGAAGATGGCAACAGGTGGTTGTGCTAATTGAAACCTGCAGGAGAGATAGTAGCACCCTTCCCTTGTTGAGCAGATTGTGAGAAGTCACGTGGCATTCTCTGTGAAAGACCGATGAGATGACAAAACAGAGAAGATACTTTCTGAAAGGGGCAAAACCGTGATATGCCACAGGCCCCACATTTAACACGGAACCGTAATACTGAAGGGTAAAAAATGATTTCACAGATCTAAGTAAAGTTTAAAAGTTGGAGAGTTCTCACAACAGCAGCATGGTTGAAAAGGAAGTATGATCCTGCACTCTCTTTTTATCCAGTGACATACGCAAGAGAAATGAAAAGCAGGATTCTAATTTGATTGATTTCTTCTCCCCATAGCTCTGGAGCGTGCTGGCTCTGGAATGCCTGTCTGGGCGACCTGTACCCTGCAGCCTTTCATGGGCAGAGCTGCACCTGCCACTCACCTGTGCCCCACGGTCGTTGACCAGCTCCACAGACCACCTGCCCTCGTACTGAATCCATACGAATATGCCTCCGTCCGCATCGCACGTGGCCAGTTTCTGGTAGGGCTCATTCCACCTCACCAGCACGACCTAGAAAACCACCAAGAAGACATTTACCACAGGAAATAAATCCATGGGCCGGGGTTACTTCTGTGCCATGATCAGACTTGAAGAGCTAATTAGAATGCAATCAGTAAAGGGAGAAGACTGGGGCCAAATGTGGGGATCAGGGGAGGGAACGGCCAGAGCTCACATACGAGAGTCCCACAGGGAACCAGCCCCACTGACACGGCTACCTAACAAAGAGAGAGAGCGCGAACATGTTCACCACTGTAAAACAAAGAGGGGACCCGGGGCTCATATGCACCCAGCACCTGCCTCTCACAGATGATCCTTCATCTGCTGGTCCTGTGCTGTGGGGAAATTATTTTAACAACATTTACTATGGATTTGAATCAGGGTATTATTTATTTAGTATGGAAAGAGGAAAGGGTGAGTACTATTTAGGTTCATTTTCCCCCTGAAGCAAAATTTTCTGTATCTTTTCTGTTCTACCTTATTTCTGAATAGTTTAGCATCTAGATGTGCTTAATTTGGGGAAAAAATACATATTTGAAACACCTAAGTTGTTTACAAATTATCACAGAGGAAATATGAAGAAATTATAAGCTTCAAAATTTCTGAGTATAAGAACTTTGTTTTTTAACTTGAAAAATGCTGATCACTTATCTAAAAGGGTAGAAACTCTGGTAGGTGGCCTGTGAGAACAGGTGAATGCTGGAGGAGTCGGAGGGCAGCCTCACAGAACCCAGTAGAACAGCAAGGGACTGAAGGTTATGGCATGGTCCCCGAACACCACGAGCCACAAAGCCAACACAGCAGGGCTCACCCTGGAGAAGGCTCCCTGAGGCTCTTCCTGACTGGTCCATCCTGGCACTCACGAATTAATTCAGTCTGACATTCAGCACACACTTTTTACGTTCATGCTATGTGACTAGTAGCGGGTTGGTGACTACAAAACACCCCCGCTACTCTCAGGTGAGTTCCAGCTGGGAAGTCAGGACCTCCAGACACGCAGCTAGATACTGACATATGCCAATTAAATGAGAGCTATTATTAACCAGCAAGAGTGCTCTTGCTATGAATAAAAAAAGTCTGGAACCCTTGTCTGCTCCCAGCATTTTGTACCTTATAGCTAATTATAATAGTTGTGAATGTGTGGCACTGGTGTTAATGGTTTCCAAATTCTAATTTATATCTGAAAATTAAAAGGACTGATGGTTGAAGACTTCCACAATGCCCTGGCCTCCTCCTCATACCCTCTCCCAAGTATAATTTCTGCTTTCAGATCAACGTATAAACCCCATGACTTCTCAGCACGATGCCATGGACACATCTGATGTTAGGTCTTTAGACTGTGTCAAGGGCAGCAGAGGGCCAGGAGGAACCCCTAAAAACCATCTGATTTAGTCTACCTTGCGCAGTCTTGGTTGGCCATACTTGGTGTTATCTGCACTTGTTGTAAAATGTGTAATAAAATCAAATTTTCCAAGAGGAAATTATTACCACTAAAAGTGTAAAGAATATCATGGCCCTTTTTCAAGATCGCAAAAATCAGGGGCAGCTGTGAGGGTGCGATCTTTGAGACCTAGCGATCACTAGAAAACCTGAATCCAGTTGATGGCTCAGCCCGCTAAAAAGCACCGTGCATGGATGTGGACACCAAGAACTCCCAGGTGGCCCCATCTAGCTGTATCCTGTCTGTTGAGACCCTCTTCCTTGCTCTGGTCATACCTCCATGGATGCAGTGCTTATGTAATCCAGCATAACTATCAGCTTGTGGACAACTCCCCACCCCAACCAATCTGTGCCTCTTGAGCAAAGGGACAGAGGCACATTCACCTTTAAATACTGACACACAGCAACTGTGAACATGTTGTGCAAACAATAATACATCATTAGAAGTTATAATCCTTGTTCAATTATATATTTGAACTACAGGTATTGATCGACTTACGACCTATACAATTTACGACCATTCGACTTTACGACCACAATTACTAGCCACAACTGCTCAGCGTATGGCAGCGCAAACGTTGACCAGCTGAGCGTATGACAGTGCGGACCAGCTTCCAGCAGCACTACCATCTCCGCGTGCACCATTTCAACTGTTATCCCAGACTCGGTACAGCAATTTGTGTTTTGTGTCTTGGATATTTTTCATCAAACCCCTCCCAAGATGTCTACCAAGAGGAAAATGTCTTTGACTACGCCTCAGCGTGCCAAGAAGGAAAGAAAGGCCATCGATCTCGATATGAAAATGAAGGTAATTAAGCAGTTTGAAGGAGGAAAGAAAGTGAATGTGATATTGCACGTGATACGAAGTTATCATTTCACAGTACTGTACATATAGCCTACTCGACTTACGACCAAATCATGTTACGACTGGTCTGTTGGAACCAATCGTGGTCGTAAGTCGAGCACTAGCTGTATGTAGAAGGTATTGAAAATTATTTCAACTAGTTTACTTTCAATTCCCAGAGGCATTTGAACAACAGCATATACTGCCTGCCTACCTATGATAAACCAGACACTGTTAGGTGCCAAGGACAGCGATTAAGATGTCTTGTCCCTGTGGAGTTCAGTTTCCTAAACAGACATTAATATAGTTCTCTGTACACAGACACAGGAGGGGGCTCAACACATGTGGGGTGCAGGATGACAAACCCAGATTCACTTTTTTAGCTTAGTTTAAAAAATCCTATATTAAAATTACTGATTTTTTAAAGTTAGACCAACATCAACAAAATCCTCAAATGACACTGAATGTGTCATAAAATTTGGGATTTCCAAATGGTAAATAAAAGCCAGCTTCACAGACTTCCTTCAGATCTGCCAATGATTTGACCCAAGTACTAGAATCTGCAAGTGTGCATGTGGCTACAATTTGGTCTCTAACACATTAGTTATTTAAGCCCACAGTCATTCATGTGCTTCAGAATGGTGACTGTGAAATGGAACATGACAAAGTAAGAACATGATATTGGCTGGGCGCGGCGGCTCAGGCCTGTAATCCCAGCATTTTGGGAGGCCAAGGCGGGTGGATCATGAGGTCAGGAGATTGAGACCATCCTGGCTAATACCGTGAAACCCCTCTCTACTAAAAATACAAAAAAGTAGCCAGGCGTGGTGGTGCGCACCTGTAGTCCCAGCTACTCGGAAGGCTGAGGCAGGAGAATCACTTGAACCCAGGTGGTAGAGGTTGCAGTGAGTCGAGATCGTGCCAATGTACTCCAGGCTGGGTGACAGAGTGAAGGCTTCATCTCAAAAGCAAAAACAAAAAAAACAACAACAAAAAAAACCCCCATGATATTCATGACTAATTAGTTTTAAAATTATTTCCTTATTTAAATGTAATACCAATAAATACTCATCCACTATGACCCTCTCTGTAAACTAATGCTTGATGACAAGATGTCATACTCCAGAGGAGAGAGGCTAGCCACATTATCTGCATTTTTGCCTTTATCATCCATCAACAACAAACCTCTACTTCATGGAAAAGCCTGCAAGGTCACAGCATAACACAAACACAAAAGAGTGGAGGCAAAAAATATTTTAAAATGATTTCTCATGTGAAATCAAAGATTTCTTGGTCTTATGACAACACAGTTGCTCTTGTTGGATAACTGAAATGTTCATAGACTCAAATTCATCTTTCAGAAATTCTTAATCAGTTGAGATGCAGCAGTAAATGGGAACATGGTCCCCATTTACACACTTCTTTGCTTTGAGTTCCAACTAGTATAAATGAGTAGGTGAGTAACGCCCTTAAATTAGAGACAGAAATCTTTCCAGTGATTTTTGGTTTAAAAAGAAAGCCAAACTGCTAATGCTGTTATTCTCATTTCCTCCCGTCTACAATTCACAGCTGCAGCCTTATCTCCCAGTAGCTCACTTCCTGTTCTCTAAATCCCTCCAGCCTATTTGGCAACGTTAGGACATACCAGAGTGTTGAGGAGTTCCAACTGGAGGCCAGCTTGGTTCTCAGTTGCCTGAATTTTGTGCCATCAGGCTATGGATCTGCCCAGTCATCCAGAGATACAGCTTCCCTTCCCTTTTAAAGAAAATGTGACTCTCCTTGACTCTGAGCACCAAAGAACTTCTGTCTTGGGGTCTTAGCTAAAGTGTGTGTTCTTTGACTAAAACGTCAGAGGAAAAAGTTAGTTTTGATCTAGGCCTTTGATGGTTCAAAAAATACCAACCTATTACCTTCTCCAATATAAGACATGTTCTCTCATTTTAGAGTGTTACTGTTATCGGTAAAGCTATTAAAGGTAGGAAAATCTACACAAAAAAAACATAGGGCAGAACTGCCGAAAGCCTATTTGGGCCATAATCTAAGGTCCTAAGTCAGTCCCATCACTTCTTACACCTAGCACTATTTACAGGAAAAGCAAAACAAGCATCACTTCGCCCACCCCAAAGATGTTCACCTTCTGAGTCAAGAGCCCTCCACATAGTGTTGATAGACAGGAAGCCACCTAAGGGAACAACAAGTGTCACCACTATTCAGAAGGATTTCTCTCAACCTAAAACAAATGTAATTTGAATGAACACTACACACAGCTCAAGTAAGAAATCTCTGTGATTATTATCACTCTGTTCTTATTCTGCAATTTATTAAGTAAACCAGCAACAACTACAATTGTGCAAGAAAAACAAAGTGATTGCCAATTTCATTTTAGACACATTTGGTCATTTTGACAAAGAACCCAAAGCATCCTGAAATAGAGGCTGGAAGAAATTCAACTAGAACAATGGTTCCGCAGACTGCTGCCCTCAGAGATGTCACCGGGAGGTCAGCGCTGAGGAAGGCGGGCTCTGGAGTCTGGCTGCTTGGCTCTGACTCCTGGCCTCACACCCACCAGCTGCACAGCTGTGGGCCACCGGGACCCTCTTGCTGCCCCTTTCCTCATCTGCTTGATGCAAGCCATGGTAGCACACCCCTCGCTGAGCTGTGGGGAGTTATCGTTAAGGAAGGACCTCAGACCAGGGATATGCACATGGCAAACATTCAGCAAATGAGA